ACATAGTTCATGTTATCTTTGAGTTTTCGAGCCAGTGAGTCCTTGGCGGATACAGTCGCTGTAGCCCATTGAGCTCGACAATGCCAGCTTATGGGTAAAATTAGAGTCCACATTTCAAATCCTCAGTACTTATTTCATGAATGAGCAATTTCCACAGTTGTGGCCTCTTGCCATTTGTTACTTACACTGGCTTTGAATAGAGCTGCTACGCGCCTTATTCCGTAATCTGTTCACTGGCTTGGTGGGCACTGTGCTCGCGCTTTGGGAGATCCAGCTTTGGCGAGCATGTCCCAAGCTAGTTCTAAATACATGAGGAACGTCGCCACTTGGGCTGTCCCAAAACTTGATTAGCTGTAGTTCACATTTCAAAATCGCCACTTCCTTTATGGACGGACTGCCTTTTGTATGCTCAACACATTTGCTGACGCGATCGTAGTTCTGCAGCTTATTGTGTTCAAAGGAATTCCACTTTTGTTTAAAAGAGTCACTCTCCTCTCGTTTTCCAATCCAGTGCTGCTGTATGATTTAATCAAGCTGTTTTCATTCGTCTCCAGGAAATGACCTGCTCTAAACTCAATTTATTGCTGTTTTAAAAGTTCAGCTGTTCGACATGTAATGTTTCAGAGCCACTTTCCGCCGTTTGCCTTATTTTACAATAACATGATGTGCCAGACGTTTATTACACTCATGTAAAGCTGTGAGGAAACGCGCGCTCCTTTTTACATCCTTCTAACCCATAAACCACAAAATAGCTTGAATGAGCTGCATGTTGCATTAATCATGCAGATTCGACTATTAAAGGAATGCTCTGAGGCGTGAAGTTACCTCAGAATTTAATTTGTGCTTAAATTTCGTCTGATAAATCCTCAGCTTCATGCTTATTTAAAAAACTGTGGATGAGACAGTAAACAACACTGACTTTTTGCATCCAAAGCCAGCTGCAAGGTTTTGACCATTATGTTCAGAGGTTTTTTATCAACATTCAGAAATGCTGAACTTCTAATGCTGAACTCACCTTTTTTGTGGACACAATCATAAACAACCTATCAATACTACTATTTACAGGAAAACGTAATAGTTGAAACAAGATTTTAATCGGGTTTGGGCGTTTGGCCGCCTCGGCGCTGACATGTAGTACCTTGCTGGAAATTGCATCCGAAATGACATGGCCTCAACCCTTTGGAAACTTTTTGAAAAATTTATTCTTTTCTTACCAACATTAGTTAACGTTTGTTTTCGCAAACAAAGAACCTAATTTGTGATCGTGTGCACCCTTCACGACGGATGTACACATTTGAGGTTGCTATTTGTAGAGGCAATAACAATCAGTTGGAGTCCTCTGCTCAACAATGGACATGTGTTGTTAGCTCCTATATAAGTAGCATTAGCAACAAAGTTTCTAGTCACCATTACCTATCAGAAATGCTTGTCGCTTGAAAGATACCTCATTCCAGCACATTTGTTTTCGATTTAAGGTGAAACATTTCGCTATCCTATATCAACGGAGAGTAACTGCTTTCACTCTCGTTCACTGTCTGCCTTCCTTTTTGACAAAGGTGCGTAGATTTTCTCACTGAAACTTATTTGATATTTATGGTGACAATCAACCCGAGAAGACTTAGTTGTAAGTGCCTTGTTTTGAAGATCCTTACAAATGCTCGTATAAGTAGTGAATCATTTAAGCCTAGGCATAGTGCAGAAGAATGGCTTGAGACGTGGACTATGGTTATTTCATGTTTGGATGCTAAGGCTAGTACTGTCAAGCAGACGTCAAGTCGCACGCTGTCCAAAAGCGCTTTGCATGAAGCATTAATGAATCACGACGACAGTGTTTTTTTCAGAAAGGGACGTTTGTATTAGAATAAAAACAGTGACTAATGCAATCTGCAGCAACTTTGTTTTTTTCACGGGCCAAAATTCTCGTTACCTTAAAACAACCTCTTTGGCAAGCGCAGCATAAACCCCAACTATTTGACGATTATCAGTTAATTGTACAAATTCGTACTCATCCAAATTTCCAACTGAGTCAACAGTCCTTTTTGCAATGCAACGCATCCATATCACCTTACATTTTAGATTTGATTGAAGTAAACGACACATCATGGCTTAGTCTGGATGCTGCTGAATGTGCAATATTTGGAATAGTAATGAAATCAGCTGTTTCTATTGGACTTCATGAATTCAGGTTCGTTATACTTTCTCCTTTTTGTCTAAATTTATCGAATGCGCGGATTTTCTTTAATATTCATGTTTTGCTATGCACGATGGTGCATATTATATGCGCACTTTGGGCACTCAGTGAAGAACAAAAAAGTATAAAGCACTACAGTCTGGTCCCCTGGATTATTGTTGAAAATAAGTCCGCATTGTTCGTCATACTAAGAGGTCGTAGGCAGTGCAATTGCATTATTTATTGAAATTAAATTTGATTTGCTTAACCGATTTAGCTAAGTTTCGTAACAAGGCGAGCACAGTTGATAGACCCAATGTTCATATGCACCTCAATCTCCCAATGTGTTCTCCCCGGCAAATGCTTGCAGCATATGGTCAGTAATTTGTGGGATCGAAAGCACATCTTGTGCTTTGCATTTATTAACTGCGTCTAGATAACTTCAAACAACAAAACTGCGTTTTAAAAAAGCTTCGAACTGACAGCAGAATGAACAATGGCACATTCATCTGCATTTTGGTTGCTATCTTCAAAGGATAATGACGAGTCCCGCCAGTTCGTTGATATCACGCGTGACCATTCATGTGGGGGATAGAAATCCCCGACTGCCGGAGGTACCCAACCACCGTGTTTTGATGCGCTTCGAGCCAGGATACGCGGTGAGAGCCGATCCGAGAACCCACATGCTACAAACTCTAAGACGAAAATGGGATTTTCTTGCTACCCTTGATGGATATCTACGACCAGAATGCCAAAAAATGGGTCGCTATGTCTGCGCAAATGACATGGACCTGCTTTTAATCAACATTGCACCAGACGGTGTGTTCAGGGTGTCCTGGTTAATATTTAACTAATGTTCTATTTGACAACAGTGCCTCTGTATAATAATTGAGGCGTTAATGTTTCCATATGACTGGATTTTTTATGCTCCTCAGACATGATTAGGATTAATAATTTAGCATTATGCAGTTTCTCTAATTAAAAACTCTTGAAAAAATGTCGAAGAACTGGCGCATTCAAATTCATTAATGCCTATCGTGCTGTTATTTCCTTACGACTTAGGACACAAAACCTTAAATTGGGACTTCGCTTGCACCTCATTCCAGACATCTCAACCACCTCCCTCCATCCCCGATTCTTTCCATCATTTGAACACTTTTTCATATGAATCTGACCAGTTTTACAACATTTCTATGCAACACCTTTTTAAACTAACCTCTTCTTGTTATCAAAAAAATGCTTTCTCATTTGAAACTGCGATTAGCTTATGCTTACTCAACTAATAGAAAAATACCAGTTTTGTCAAGGATTTCGTTCAGAAAGTTAAAACTACTGTCAGTGTGTAGGCCTCATTGATTTCTTATACACCCTTCCCTTGTCAGAATAGCATTAAGGTGAGAATGTGTCAACAGTGTCATTACAGACCAACCACAACCACTGAAGTCATCTTAAATCCTCAATTTAGCTCTTTCTCACACAAAGTTATGTTGTATTTTGTCTTAGGTGATGTCTTAAATGTGATATGGGCAAAGAAGTCGTTGGTATACACTCCACTACCATCAAGCAACCGTTCCGTGCCACACACCCTCTTCTCTAAGCAACACACCCTCCGACCCCAACAAGAACGAGCAGCGTACGGAGAGATTCCTGCTCCACACATTTCCGATCCGGACCACGAACTGTCATGCCCCTGGAACAGGCTGGAAAGCTTCATCCTACAGCTACAAACTAGCCCTCCCGACTCGCAGGTTCAGCCCGAATTGATACGTCACTTCGAGCATGCTGGATTCGGCCGATTAATTGGAGTGAAAGTAGAGAAACTTGGGCATTGCTCTGAGCAACCAGAATCATCAATTTTAAGTGGAAGTAAGAATCTCGCTTTGCAATTTAGTAGGCGCGGAATTTTATTTGCGAATAAACTAACCCATACTTGACCACCATTTGCAATACTGTCCAAATGCCATTCTAATCTCTGAAGAGATTACAATGAAGATCTGTACGCATTTTGCAAAAGGTTGCATTTTGCTAGGGGTTTTAATATTTATTTATCATTCATGTTCTAGAATCATCATTGTAGACAGTGAGGTATCTTCAAATGAATGGCCTTATTAGGAACTGAACCACGAAGCACTTATGTGGGTCCAATAATGCTTCAAACCTGTGTTTTGTCCACAAAACTCTGTCTCGTCGTCAGTAAGATAAAACTTTTGGGGTAAGTGTCAAGATGGAGTACGTGCATTAAAGCATACACAAGAAACTTCTACGGACAATTTTTTCAGGAGATTGAACTAGATGTATCATTTCTACTAGCTTTAATAAGTATAGAATAATTTTCCAACCTCACGCAGAAGGCGGCT